CAACGGGCGATACAATAATGTCGTCGCAATCGGCAGGTTAAAAAGTACGAAGGCCATGGTATGACGATGCTTACCACCTTTTTCTAATATTAGTAAAATAGAGGATACGCATAAGTCGAGCAGTGATGCCCATGTTAAAAAACATAAACGCAGAGATACGTTTCGATCAATTAAAACTCACAGTTTTAATGGCTCGTTGCCGAATCTCTCGTCATATAACCAACCATCAAATGACCAGCAGTACCGTTCTATCCTGACAAGCGAAGTACAAAACCGGCGCGACAAAAAACAGAACAGTCGACCATAAACATCAATGTCCTGTTAGTGCTTGTTTATAATTTAATATATTACCCTGTCAACGCAAGACCCACTGCCATTGACCGACTTCGTATCTATGTCCTACTTGTAGGTTTTATCAAACAATTTGGTAAAATCGTTTTCTCTATCACGATCACTTATTTATTACGTTTAGTTTTTTTAATTGAATAGGTGTTTGTTTATTTCATTAGTTTCGAGTGGTCGTACAAGGGTACTTCAATGTTTCAGTTATTCGAGGTGAATTTTTTTTCGTTTAATATCTCACTCAATTCATCATATTTAATAGCATCTGAAATGGTACATCATTTTTTTCGTTGAATTCCAGACGAAGCATGCAATGCGACTAATTGCTGTTTCGATCATTTTCTATTGTCTTTCTTTAAATTTATTCCTCTCTACGTTTCCTTGAAAATAGCACTAACTAACTTTTATCATTCTTGCTCGATCTCAAATTCAAGAATCACAAATTGATGACGGGTTTTAGCATTTATGAGTAAACAGTGTTGCAAATTATGTATACATTCTCGAATGAGTCGCTTTTTTTCAGACTCGCCATAATGCGGCGTCACCGGGCCACGCTATAGGAATCATCTTTCAGTGAACAGCACAGTGTGGAGATGACGTACACTGGCTGGGGATGATGACAATGATCAGAGAAATGACAGCACAATGATCGCCCAGGGTTCACGAAACACATGTTCAGGCAGCGTTATCAAGGCTATTAAAACGCGGTGTTAAATATGCCAGATCGTAAATAAAGACACCGTTGCCGCGAAATCGAAAACCAACTGCATCGGTCTAAAAACGACAAGGCCAGACCTAACACGCAGCCTGTGTGATCTTCTCCGTAAATCAATGCGGACAAATGTTTTTTTCTGTAAACACTGTTAACTCCAGTGCAGCACGAATGTCAGAACATGGAATTTTGTCATGTATAAAAGACAAGTTCAATAAAGATTTAATGTTTATATTAGTGTATGGTTATTCATTGCAAACCATAGTCAACAATGAACAAAGCTATTATAATATAAATTGGAAAAAAAAAAAAAAAAGAGAACAGTTTCCACAGTAAAAAGCATCATCGATTCGCAACCTTAATTTAAACAAGCAGCCTATCGGCTGAGATAGCTCCGCTGTTAGCAATGCACATTTCAATTAAAGAACAGAAGACATCATTAGAAAATGAACAATATGAATAGTATCAAAGCAATCGGACTTACAGTTTTTAACAAGAAGTCGAAAATATCACTTTTTACCAAAAATTACAAAAATATTCACCAAAATAAATTAATTAGAGAATTGAAGATATCATCACAAAACGAACAAATCTGAGAGAGGTCCACATGTAGTACCTATATATGTAATATCAAAGTAATCGGACTTGCGGTTTTTAACAAGAAGTCAAAAATATCACTTTTTACCAAAAATGACAAAAATATTCACCAAAATTAGAGAATTAAAGATATCATTATGAAATGAACAAATCTGAGAGAGGTCCACATGTAGTACCTATATATGTAATATCTAAGCAATCGGACTTGCGGTTTTTAACAAGAAGTCAAAAATATCACTTTTTACCAAAAATGACAAAAATATTCACCAAAATTAGAGAATTGAAGATATCATCACAAAATGAACAAATCTGAGAGAGGTCCACATGTAGTACCTATATATGTAATATCAAAGCAATCGGACTTGCGGTTTTTAACAAGAAGTCAAAAATATCACTTTTCACCAAAAAATGACAAAAATATTCACCAAAATTAGAGAATTAAAGATATCATTACAAAATGAACAAATCTGAGAGAGGTCCACATGTAGTACCTATATATGTAATATCAAAGCAATTGCACTTGCGGTTTTTAACAAGAAGTCGAAAATATCAGTTTTTACCAAAAATGACAAAAATATTCACCAAAATTAGAGAATTAAAGATATCATTACAAAATGAACAAATCTGAGA